TTTTTTTTTTTTTTTTTTTTTTTTTTTTTTTTTTTTTTTTTTTTTTTTTTTTTTTTTTGGGGGGGGGGGGGGGGGGAAGTTGGGTTAGTGATGTGAGTTAGGTGAAACTTGATAAAATTTAATGTTTATTTTTGTCTAATGGAAAAAAAAAATTGGAGTGTTCAGGATTGTGAAAGAACTTAATCAACTTTAGTTACGATACAACACCAAAATAAATATGGTACTGAAGGGTATAACTAAATAATGAGTAATTACAATTTATTTCGATAGAGTTGTTGAGCAGTGGGAGAAAGTTATGATAAAAGAAAGTTGAAATCGATTCTAAAAATATTAGGATTCAAATCAAGCAACCTCATTTGTACCTAATCTCATTAGATTGAGTTGTAATTGTAACGTTATTTTTAAATATTTTTGATATCATACCAAAAAAGAAAAATTGAGGATACATTCGAAGCCATCACCATATATATATATATATATATATTGGTTGGTAAAAAATGGCCTATATATTCTTATAGTTATGATGATTTCTCTATCACTCTGCTGTCTGCACATTATCTCTGTTTCAGGCACCTAGAATTCTCTTTTCATGGCGGACCTTTTGCCTTCTCAAAACTTTTCTTCCCACCAAGATGTCAAGCAAGAAGAACACCAAGAAACCCACCAAAAGTTATCAGAATTGGTCTCCACTCTTCCTAAAGCCAAAGGATGGGCAACTCAACATGTTCATTACCACCAAGGCTTTTGGTTTAATCAATCACCGCTTCAAGGAATCATAACTCTCCAGAAAAGCTTCGAGGCTCGACCCACCGATGTTTTTTTGGTGACCTTACCAAAGTCAGGTACCACTTGGTTTAAGGCCCTTCTCTTTACCATAATGAACCGAAACCGTTATGATTTTCATGACCATCCTTTGCTCACAGCCAACCCTCATGAATGTGTGCCGTTTTTGGAGATGTACGCCATGGAAAACCCAAACCAGAGACCCGACCTTTCTCTCCTGTCCACCCACATGCCTTACACAATTCTTCCGAAATCAATATTAGCCTCAGGTTCTCGAATTGTTTATGTGTATCGAGACCCTAAAGACACGTTTGTTTCTCTGTGGCACTTCATGAGCAAGCTTAGGCCCAAGGAGCTACCACCCCTGGTTTTAGAAGATGCAGTTGAGCAATTTTGCTCTGGAAAATCATCATATGGACCATTTTGGGATCATGTTCTTGGGTATTGGAAAGCAAGCATAGAATGGCCGGATAGAGTGATGTTCGTAAAATTTGCGGACATGAAGAATGATCCAATACTTCATGCAAAGAGATTGGCTGAGTTCATAAGCTACCCTTTTTCCTCGGAGGAAGAGAATGAAGGTGTGATACACAAAGTAATAGAGCTGTGTAGTTTTGAAAACTTGAGCAATTTGGAAGTGAACAAGAGTGGATCATACAAAGCGAGCTCAGCCTCCAAGATAGAGAGCAAAACATTTTTCAGGCAAGGTAAGACTGGGGACTGGAAGAACATTCTAACGACCGAGATGGCGGAGCAAATAGATGGAATCATAGAGCAGAAGCTGAAGGATTTGGTCTGACTTCTTGTGTGCCGTATAACTTATATTAATCTATATTTGTCTTTGAAGATTTGTTGTGCTCAGTCGGGTGTTTTATTTTCCTCAATCAGTCGGGTGTTTTTGTATCATCTTACCTTAAAATAAACACAATGTTATTGTGTGTAGTGTACACCTTTGTCTTATTATCAATGTACGTAACTTTGATCATGCTTTTTTTTAATTTTATTTTTGTTCTTGGAGTAAAATGATTTTTTCAAGTCTATATTGCCTACTTTAACAGATTGTATAAAAAATTATCTTAATTGCTTATTTTTTGAACTCGTAAATTCAAATAGGAGAAATCAAACGATCCAAGGCAAACCATCCGTATGAGATGAATTAGAATGCTTCCTGGGAGACTTGGATTTGGGAATTAAGGACATCTATAGTATTGACTCAAACTCAAATTTAAGTAAAAAGTTTGATTTGGTGTGAACTTTCTAATGGATAAAATCAAAGAGAATTTTTTTAAAAAAAATTTCTCCAAAAAATTCTTCCCTCCTCTCTTTTTTTTTTCTTTCCCTCTAAACCCTTTTTCCATTTCATTTTTTTCCTCCCCTCCCAAATTTCTTTCCCTCCTTTTTTTTATTTTTATTTTGTTGGCAGCAGTTAAATTTCCTTCCCTCCATGACGTGTGGGTGGTGACAGACGGGAAAGAGCAGATCTACCGTGATAAAGGAGACCGTTAGAATTTGACTCAAATTCTCTAATTATCACAAATGAAAGTTTGTTGTGCAATTAATGTGAGAATCCTAAATGAAATAGGTGACGTATTGGAAAAATCCTAATAAATGGTTTATTTGTGATCTAATCAAATAGGAAATAAATTGGAAGAGTATGAATACATCATAAATAGGTATATTAGAATAGGAAATATAAATATCAAATTAAATCTGAATAAGTTTGGGTTACAATATTTTATCCCTATAAATAGGGTTAAGTATTATATAATCAGTTGTCAGATGACCAATTTTTCAGTGAATAATACATCGATATAGGTTTTTGGTTCATGAATGTAGTTACGATGTATCGAGAGGGTATGATGTATTGAATCACGTTATATCTTTGTATCATGTTTTTGTTATTTTCCTATCTTCGAATTCCTATTTTTGAACAAGTATTATTTATATTAATTATTCCCAGTGCAAAACCAACAAATGGTATCAAAGTTATGTTCCAACAAGTTGTATCAAAGCTAGATTGATGATCCTGACAGAACAATCAGAGTTAGATTGATGATCCTGGTGCAACAATCAAAGCAAGTTATTAGCAATTCAATGATCAAATTGATACTCATTTGCTATGTTAGTACGACGTGGTGTGAAGATTGATTTCGTCTTGTGTATATTAAGGACGTAATCTTAAAAAATTAGTTGATTCATATTTTTGTTTGGATCTACAAGAAAAAATTTAAAGTTAGTCTAAAACCAAAAGAGGAGACTAAGTTCCTTCTAGATTGTTTGAATTTCAAGAATTACCACACATGCTGTGTTGAAAATGTTTCTTCAGGATGTTAGGCTATTAGAGTTAAAATCGCGCTATTCCAATGGTTTTTAAGCTATTGGGCTATCATAAACTTAGTAATGATAATGTGGTGTCTTATGAGTTACAAATCACCGAGTTTTACCTTTGAATGATGAAGCATTGATCATTGAGATCTCCCAAGAGCCGATAAGACGCGACCATAGGTACATAGACGGAGGCTCTTGAAAGACAGAGAAAATTGTAATGATTGAAAAGAGCAGATTTGCACGTAGTGCTTGAAAAAATTGGCGAATCAAAATCAAAGGTACTAAGCTTGATCATGAGGTAAAACTAAACTCTCTAATTATCATAAAAAAGAGTTTATTGGGCAATTAATGTGAGAATCCTAAATAGAATAGGGATAATATTGGAAGAGTCCTAATAAATGGTTTATTAGTGACCTAATCAATTAGGCAATAAATTGGAAGGGTTTTAATATATCATATTAGACATGTGATAGGAAATATATAAATCAAGTTTATCTTTTTTTTTTTTTTTTTGGGTCTTGAGATCAAGTTGTATCAGAATAGGTTTGGGTTACAATATTTTATCCCTATAAATAAGGTTGAGTGTTATTAATTACCAGATAACCAATAATACATCGCCATAGATATAGGTACGATGTACCAAGATGGTATACTGTATTGAACTACATTATATTTTTGTTTCATATTTTTATTATTTTTCTATCTTTATAGTCCTATTTTTTAACAAGTATTATTTATTTTAATTATTTATCGTGAAAAACTGACAAATAGTATCATAACTATATTCTAGCAAGGCTGGTGAAGTTTTGACATGAAACCTCTTTATCGCAGAGGGTAGATAGAAGAACGAGCTTCTATTTTGGCTAAAATATTTTGAGTAAAAGGTTTTATGTTTCCTCGATTTGAGTTAAAAAAAAATATTTATCTTGCTTTAATATAAATTTGGGATAAAGGTTCAGAGAATTTTTGGTCTTTTTTATCTAAATTCCATAAATCGCCTAATAATAGTGATTCTCTAGGCTCTCTCATGTCAGCTAGCCTAATGGGTAATATGACATATTATTTTCAGAGCAATGCTATTGGGAGTTAAACATAATTTGCTGACTTAATTCACTATGACCTTTAGATTTATTATAGACCGTATCAAATATTAAAATTTGGTATTGATCCAATAATTTCTATAAAGTCACATTATTATATCAATAAATTGTGTCAAATTTTTAGATTCAAATAAATTATTCTTATTTTCGTTTTCTAAGATCATATGCAAATTATCATTCTCAAGCACATTAAAATTTTTGCAAAGTTTTCGCAAATGGAAAAATGACACATTAGGAGTCTGCAAAAATAAAATAAATTTAAAGTTGTTCGTTCCTTAAATATTATTTACAATACAATACAATATGATGAAATTCCTTCAAGTGGATGCTTGTGATAGGCAGCGGCATAGGCAGGGATCCGAATGAAGATCAAAATATAACTGAAAATAATTTATCAATTGGTATTTAAAAAAAAAATTGAGTACAAAAATGACAAAATAGACTAAGATTCAAGACAAAATTACTGAAGTAATAAAATTAATTTTTATTTTTTTAAACAAAAAAGACTAACTTTTTTTTAGTATGTTTTAATTATATGTTACACTAACATATAACGTTCTTTAAAAGCCCTAATATTTTTTATATTTATTTAATTATAAGACCTAGAATTCTCACTAATTTCCTACAAGTGCACATAGTTATTGGGTCCTGTGGTAATATAATTTTTTAGTAATTATAAAACCTAGTTAACATCATTATCAAGTTTATTGAGAAATTTCATATTTAAAATAGCATAAAATATTTTGGGTTATAACATGTGGTGTTTTGCATCCAATCATGTTTTATTGACTACAGATTACAATCAAACCGAAGAATAGAAAACAACAACTATGCAATTGTTTCTAAAAAATAAAAAGCATTGTGTTAGATAGAAGAGAATTACTGTCTTATTTTCAATATGTAAATAGATTTCAGCATTTACATCGAATTTATTCACTCCAAAAAGAAAAAAATATATATATTTTAGAGGGATCATAGACCACTAATTTATTGGGAGGACAAAGAGTACTCTTTTCAAAAATTTAAGGGGGGCAAATGTAGTACATTAAATAATATTATGGGGAACTAATTAAAGGTGATTCAAAAATGAGGGGAGGAAGTACCCACCCTTGTCCCAAGGTGGTTTCGCCCATGGTGATAGCACATTTCCAAGTTGTTTTTTAGTGTAGTACACTTCTTTATCACATTACAAAAATGATGAAATTACTTGATACGAAGGGTTTCATGGTGGGGCCTTTTACCATTCTTATGCTACTAGACTTAGACCGAACCCCATGAATGAGCAAGGAGAGAGACCAAAACATGGATAGTGGTTTAGTGCAAAACACAAAATGTCATAACGTGACTCAATGGGAAAAGAAAACATATATATACCACTGGTTCAAAGTTTGGGCAAGTCTCACGAACTGGGTAATAAAGTTTCACTCTCCCACCCTTATCTTCGACATAGAGAGAGAGAAGATAGAAAAAGACCATAGTGAGAGAGAGACGTAGAAGAAATACATTAATAGACCCAAATTTCAACCTAGAATATTATATAAAATATGATGAGGGCATTTTTATCATTAAATAATTAAATTTTGCATTGTTTATTTCAACTTGCGCTTAGGGCCACCTGCCCATAGAAATCTATGGCCAGTTCTGACCTGTAAAGTGTAACTATCCTCACGTTTCCTCGTTCGGGGCAAGTAATCAATCAAATCTTCTTATGCTTCAAAATTTTATTTTTTTTTTTATTTTTTTTTTGAACAAACAAAATTTTATTTTAATATTACGAAATTTATGTTTGAGTATCAAGAACCAAATTAAAATATTGTTTAGTCAACATCGTTGTAGTACCGCCACATTACCTACTCTCTCAATTTAATATTTTTTTGTTGCTTAAAATTATTCCAAAAAAAAAAAAATTGGCTTAATACAAAATCATTAATGTCACATTCTTTAATCCCTCAATTTGAACTTTTACCATGCATATGTATGTGTTGTAGAAATTACCAAACAATTGAATCAAAATAGACATTGATACTCACACTCAAAATAGAAAAATAAAAAAATAATCACACAAGACTCAATAAAATTTATGTGGTTCGACTATAAATTGTAGGAGTCTATGTCCACAACAACAACGATCGAATATTTATAATATAGTGTAAAACAAATGTACAAAAAATAACTATTTGAAATCTGACAATTATTCACTCCAAAAAAAAAATACTCTAATATTTTACCGATGTCTCTTTTTTTTTTTTTTTTACAGAGTGTTTAAATTTGTATCGACTATTTTTTTGAAATCAGCAGAACTAATATTTGTAAAAACTATCAATTCCCCAAAAATTAGAAAATATGTATCTGATCAGAAGACTTTCTCCTA